GCTCAAAAGCCCACTTGGCTAGCCTACCAGATTTTTCAACCTTGCCGAGAACTTTTTCCAACGGCTGATCAGTTAAGACCACTATCTGATGGCAATCAAAATAGGGTCTCAGCTTCCGAGCAGCTACTACTACCGCGAAAGCGACTTTCTCGAGTAGAGGGTAGCGAGTCTCGGCATCCGTCAGTGTATGACTGACGAAGTAGATCGGTTGCTGACTTTTACTTTCTTCCTTCAGCAATACTGCGCTGATGGTGGCTGGGCTAACGGCCACATACAGGTACACAGTTTCTCCTTCAGCTGGGCTAGCCAGCGTTGGGAGTTGAGCCAGATGCTCCCGAAGCTGTTTAAAGGCGTCTTTTTGCTCTTCCTCCCAAACAAGCTCTTTTGTTTTCGGGAGTTTCAGGGCTTTGAAGAAAGGTAACCCCTTATCCGAAGCTCTTGAAATGAACCTCGAGAGGGCTGCCATTCTTCCGGTGAGCCGCTGAACATCCCGCTTCGTTTTCGGCTCAGGAAGGTCGAGCGCCGCTTTGACTTTGGAGGGATTGGCATCAATCCCCCTTTTGCTGACCATGAACCCAAGGAATTTCCCTGACTTCACGCCGAAGACACACTTCTTCGGATTCAGCTTCATTTGATGTTTTCTCAAGGTGGCGAAAGTTTCAGCCAGGTCCTTTACATGGTCCTCAAGTTTTTTGCTCTTGACGATCGAATCGTCGACATAGACTTCCATGTTTCGGCCCTTTTGATCGGCAAAAACTTGATCCACCAGCCTTTGATAGGTTGCCCCCGCATTTTTCAATCCGAAGGGCATCATTTTGTAATTGTACACCCCAGCGTTCGTGACGAATGCTGTCTTTGCTCGATCGTCGGGGTGCATGAAGATCTGATGATACCCTGAGAATGCGTCCATGAAACTAAGCAAGGCATGGCCACTTGTCGAATCGACTAGCTGATCGATCCTCGGCAAGGGATAGAAATCCTTCGGACAAGCCTTATTTAGGTCCGTGAAGTCAACGCACATCCTCCAGGTACCATTGGGCTTCTGAACCATCACCACATTTGCCAGCCACTCTGGATATTGGCAAGGTTCGATGAACCCTGCCTCCAGCAATTTTTTGACCTCGGCTGCGATGTCTCGGTTCTTATTAGCGGAATAATTCCGCTTCTTTTGCTTAACTGGTCGACACGTTGGGTCAACATTAAGCTTATGGGAGATGAGGTCTGAACTTATCCCGGGCATATCAGCTGCCGAGAAAGCAAACACATCTTTGTTGTCCCGAAGGAGCTGAATAAGTTCACAACGGGTGTTTGGATCAAGGTCCATCCCGATTGTTACACATTTCTCAATGTCTCCTTCGGCCAACTCAACTGTTTCAGTCTGCTGGTCCATGTCCATTGCTGATGGACTGGACTCTTCATAATCTGGCCTGCTGCCAATGTCAGCAGGTGTTCCAGTCTTTTTGTTCATCGGCTGGCTCTCTGAGTCTTGCGGCTCAGCTGAAGAGCTAGCCTTTTCCCTTTCGGGCCCTTTTTCTCTGGGCACAGATCCTTGGGCCGAAGCACTTAGGCCCTTTGGCTTTTTTGTGCTTGGCTCTCTTTCTTTTTCTTTCTCCTCCTCATCCTTGTCGTCATCTGGGCGACTACTGGATGGCTTGAGGTAGTTGCACCTTCGGGCGTCCTTTTGGTTGCCCTGTATCCTTTCGGGGAAGCCGGCGTCTGAGACGTAAATCATCAGCTGATGATAAGTTGAGACGACCCCTTGGATCTCATGAATTATGGGTCTCCCCAAAATCACGTTGTACACTGAAGGAGCGTCAATGACCAAAAATTCAATCATGACGTTCCTGGCTGCCTCGTCGCAGCCAATGGTGACAGGAAGTGTCACCTTCCCATCTGGATAAGTTGATGCCCCGTTGAACCCGGATACCGGGTAGGGTACCGGCGTAAGGTGCTTGGGCTTCAGCTTAATTTGATTGTAGGCCTTTCGGAACAGAATGTTTGCTCCACTGCCACCGTCAACAAGGACCTTACTGACGTCGTGGTTGGCCACCGTGGCGATGATCACCAACGGATCCTCGTGAGGGAACGCTATCCCCCGGCAGTCGGCGTCTGTGAACGTCATGTTCGGCACCGGCGACTGGGGAGATTGAATGTCAGCGTTGTTCACCTGGTGAGTCAAAGCTCTAAGGTGTCGCTTGTGTTCCCTCCGAGAATATATTCCTCCCGAGATAACATTGATCGGAGGGAATTTCCCCTCCGGCTTTTTACTGTTCTTCCGGGGGAAGTCGAGGTCTTGCCGAGAGTCCTTTGCTGACTTCTCGGCTTCTTTTTTCTCGCGGTGATCCGCGATGTATTTTTTCAAGTATCCCTTCCGGACCATGTCCTCTATCTGGTCCTTCAGTTGGATACACTCCTCAGTGTTGTGTCCCGAAGACTCGTGGAACTCGCACCACTGATTTTTATTTTTTCGCTGATACCACTCTGGAAGTGGTCTCGGCTTTTGGTAACTCTGCTCCTCCTTCGTCACGTTGTAAATTTTGGCGCGTGGAAGAGAGAGCGGAGTGTAGGACTCGTATCTGCCTGTGTATGAGGCAGATCTTTCCTTCTTTGGGTCGCTGGCCGAAGATTGCTCCGAGGCCTTTGACTTTCCCTTTGCCTTATGGCCTTGGCCTTCAGACAAGGGTATTTGTTTCTGTTTCCCTCCCTCGAATTGAGGTTGGGTTTTCGCTTTGTTCCATTCTTCGGCTCGGATGAACTTATCCGAAGCATTAAGAGCTTCCTCCAAGGTCTGCGGGGTATGCATGACCATGAAGTCTAGGAACTTTCCGGGCTGAAGTCCATTCTGCATTGCGAAAACGGCTAGACCCTGGTCCAGCTGAGAGACGCTGGATGACTCGTTACTGAAACGGGTCAGATAGTCTCGGAGGCTTTCGGTTTCCCCCTGCTGCAGACTCATGAGTTCTGCAGTAGTCTTCTCTCGGCGGTTTGCCGTGGAAAACTTGCTCCTAAATTTGGAGGACAGATCATCCCACCCTGTTATGGAGCCCTGCCTTACTCCCTTGGAGATCCACGCTTGCGCGACCCCCTTGAGAGTGGTTGGGAAATATTTGCACCAAGTTGCTTCGGATCTGGGGCAAAGATGCATATGGGTTTCATACGAGGCCACGTGATCCTTCGGATCCGAGGTCCCGTCATATGCGATGTGCGACGGTATTTTAACCGTGGGCACGCGCTCTTCCAGTATCCATTGCTCGAATGGTGAACTGGCGGGAAGCATAACGGCCTTGCCCTTGTTCCTGGCCGAAGGGACCGCGCTCCGCCCTCTTAGAGAGGTAGGAGTGGTTTTCGTCCCTGGCTGGGAAGTCTGGGCCTCGGCTGCAGGGAACGAGAGGCGACTGCGCACGCTCGGTTCCTTGCCGCCGAGTCGGTCGAGGACGCTTCGGCGAACAGTCTCAGGTTCTCGGTGAGTAGATTCTGGCCGAGAAGCTGAGCTGCTGCTCTTATGCGTTTCTGGTCGGGAGGTTGAGGATCCTTTGAAAAATTGAGGGTCTTTTTCCTCTCTTTTTCAGTTTTCCAGGAATCCTCCTCCCACTCTTCCAGTTCCCGGAAGGAAGGAAGCTTCCCACCATCATGGTCTAACTTCCTCCGCTGATGCCGGGTATGCGGAGGAGTTCGATCACGAGGTGGTGGCATATTTTGTGCCCTCATCGCCTCCATGAGTACTGCCAGCGCTCTTGCCACCTCTTCCGAGCTGGGCCCCGTCAAAGGGGTCCTTGGCCGAGTGTGGGAATGAGGGCGCGCAGCCGATGGTTGGCTTTGGGACACTGAATGTGTCCTATGATCGGACTCACCCCTGCTAGACCGAGAGTGACCCGGCCTATAATGAGAGTCATGAATTACGGGAGAAAGAGAATCCTCCCTGTATGATCCTCCCCCGAGCCGGCACCCATGGGAGAGTTCCGGTCCGGCGAGGGTGATGGTGTAGGGGTTTTAGGCTTTTCGCCCGCTCCTTGACGGAGGCTTTTGCTCTTGCGGTTCTTAGCCATTGCTGCTAAGATATTTGCAAGATAATTGGCTTAAAGATTTTTGAAAGTCTTCCCCACAGACGGCGCCAAATTGTTTCGGGTGAAAACAATGGGACCTCGCCGAAGGTCCGCTGAAACGGAGAAGACTGGATTCGGTCCAATTTATGTTGAGCCAAAGGTTTCCTGCACAGTGAACACACGTAAACTAGCCTCGGGGGTGTTGCCGAGGAAGGCCCCTCCGATGCTAAAGTCAGTACAATGTGTAAAAAGAGAACACTATGCAAGAGAATTTATTGCTTGAGGCTTTGATGGAATATATGAGAATGTATAAATGAACATGTGAATCTATGAATGAATCAGAATCTGAATCTCCGAATATGGATGGCTTTTATACCTCTTCATAAATGGATAGGTTGGGCCTTAGCCCAATTGACTTGCTTTGTGGGCTGACCTTTGACTTTAGCACAATTGGAGAGTTGAACCTTGACCTTGGGCTTGTGATTGGATCATTTAATGCCTAGGCCCAATTGGACTAAATTGGACCCAAACAAATTTAATTGAAAATTCAGCAAAAAATAAGAATATTAAGGTCACCAAACTAGATTCTAATAATGAAAATTAACGAGAATTTAGAAATTTAGATATTAGATAATCATATAATTAGACATAGTTAGAGCATGAGTATTAAGGTTAGATGTCCAAATGACGAACTATTTTTTCAATAAACTTTGTAAATTGGAGGAAAATTCGGCAAAAAATAATGCAAAAAATCAACACCGCTATATAATTACGAAAAAAAGAAATTTATCATTAATTTTTTGATTGCCACACAGTAGATTATTCTAAAAGCTCGCAAACTACTAAGTTCGCAAACTTTAACCTAATGTGAATATTTCTCCAATTAGCTAGGAATGTGAAAAATTATATATAAAATCACTCATTTTAGTCGAATAGCACACATATACCACCGCAAAAAGGCAGACTAGTTGACATAAGCTGCAATCCTAGGAATAACCTTGCATACCAAAGACTTCTTCATCTCCATTGAAAGCTTGAGGCACTCGGTCAAGTCCACACCGTTCTCGGTCGGAACCCATTTGGAGTTCTGAAGCATCTGAGCTAACCAGAGTTGAGTAGTTGCCATACCCATGGCCTTTCCAGGGCAGACACGGCGTCCTGCTCCGAAAGGTGCGAGCCTGAGGTCTAAACCCATGATCGGGACATCCTCTTCCATGAACCTCTCAGGTTTAAACTCATTCGGGTTTGACCAGATTTTCTCATCATGGGTGATGGCATACATGTTAACCATTGCAGTGGTTCCGGCAGGGACCAAGTGCGGACCGACGTAGGTATCGTGGATTGAGAGACGAGCCCATGATAGAAGTGGGCCTGGTGGGTGGACCCTTAGGGTTTCTTTGATTATTGCTTGGAGATAAGGCAACTTGGGGAGGTCTGAGTCGGTGACATGCCTGTTGGCTCCAACAACGCTGTCGATTTCGGCTTGAGCCTTAGCTTGAATGTCAGGGTGCACTACCATCCTTGCTAGAGTCCACTCTAGGAGGATTGCTATTGTGTCTGTTCCTCTGAAGATCATTTCCTACAAACAATTATAAATAAAATCATTATTTAGAGGTAATTCTCTGTTTCTCATTAGTTTTGTTTCTCATGGGTATGTGTCAAGAAGTGGAGCTCCCACTCATGACACATACGCAGTCTCCACCTGTGAAAAATATCACATTATTTTCCAAAATGTCATTATGAGAAACAAAAGTGTTTCTCATAATGAGGAATTGGGGCTCACTCATTTAGCGTTCTGAATTAATTCACATATATTAGCACTACGTCTAAACTAGTAATGTGAAAAATCGATTAATTATATGCCCTAATAAGCTAATACCATCACATTGATCGAAGAAAATGGACTTCTAAAAACATAAGAAAAAAGAACCTAAACCAAGTAAAATAGCATATTTACCATTTCCAGCATCAATTGGACAAATGTAAAACAAAAGGAAAAAAGGTTAAACTGTATATAATGAAAAACAAATTTGACATGGACAAAAAATGTATCTAAAAACATGAAATCATACCCAAAGAAGAGCAATCATGTCAGAGTCAGAGAGCTTGTTCTCTCCATCTTCCAAGTCCAAAAGAACATCAACGAAATCCTTTGAATCATCATCAACCTTCTCACTCCTCAATGCCCTGTGCTCTTCAATCACATTACCAACATACTTGTTTACCTTACCAACAAGATTCTTGCACCTTCTCCTTACTCCTTGTAAATCCAACCACCTTAGAGGGGCAAAATGGTCTCCCCAGTTGAATATTCCCAACAATTCATAACCTTCCTTAACCAATTCTTCAAGGTTATCAGCTTCCTCGGTCCTCTTACCGAAGAAATCGTAACTCTTTCCGAACACACTCATCATGACATTGTTCAATGATCCGAAATGCAACACATTTTTGATCTCAACATTTCCCTCATTTCCCATAATAGTAGTGATTTGGTTCACCATTTGATTACCAATTTCTTGGCGGAATCCTCCGAAGTTGGAAATTCTTCTCGGGCTGAAAAGATGGGTTGCGGAAATCCTTCGGAGGTTCCTCCAGTAATCACCGAAGGGTGCAAACCCCATAGCCCTGTTAAAGAGAAGCTCATAGGCTGACTCCTTAATAGGACGATCAGCGAATTCGGAGCTGTTTAAAATCTCTTTAGCAGTCTCGGGTTCACTCGCTATAACAAAGCGAGTCAACCCAACTGAGAACGCCATCAACGGCGTAGCCTTGAGGCTAGTGGCAATACTGGATAGGATTCTATGAGTTTTTTCGGAAGCGAAAACATGGCCAAGACCAATAAGGGGTAACCCGGTTGGACCAGGAATAGCCGAAGCGGACTTACCGTTGCCACTTCGGTTGTTTTTAACTGCGGAAAGAGACCATGCTAAGCCTCCTGGGTACAAGAATATGGTGAAAAGGGAAAGAAATGCGGCAAATGAAAGGAAAATGGGTGCAGAAAGAAGGGATGACGCTGTTGGCAGCAATGAGAAATTCGTTGCTAAAGTTTCTGCTGACATTTTTTTTTTTTTTTTGGCCAAAAGAGAGAAATTATTAGGTTACAGAATAAAAAGGATGCAAGGATGTTTAAGTGAGGGGGATGAAGTGTGAGGGGCACATATTTATAGCGGTTGTGGAATAGTACATGAGGGATAAGCACTAGAAGAATAAGAGCATGGGATAAGGATATGGAATTATTGGGTGGTATAATTTTTTTTAAAAAGTGTTGTTATGGAATTATATAACGGGATAAGATTATGACAATCAATAAAATTTCTAATACGCCCTTACTAGCTTTATCCATCTCTTTTATTTTTGTTTCCTTTTAATTAAGGGTATTTATTGCGATAGGAAGAAGGATAAGGAATAGTATATAAGGGATACGGATAAGAAGGATAAGAGGACGAAATAAGCATTGAAATTATTAGGCGGGATAATGATAAAATAAAGCGTTGTTATTTGGTTTGTTTAAGTGTGGGATAAAATTAGGATAAGTAATAAAGTTACTAATATACCCTTACTGACATTTGTCTCTTTTGTTTTTTTTTTCTTTGTTTTCTTTTCATTAAGGGTATATAATATCTTTTTCATTATAATCCTTATCCTTTTCCCCTTACACCAATCCCGTAAAAATTAACAGGGTTTTTGTACACCCCCAAATCTTTCTCTACGAAAATACTAGTATAATACGTATAATTTTATCATAGAGATACATTTAGGCGTATTATCACCACATGATAGCGTAAGGCTATTCAAAAAACTTTAACTCACTAAAAAATTGTAGCGGAGTTAACTCTTAATTTATAAATACTTCAAAAATTTAAACCATTTTTTTTATTACTCAAATTTAAATGTAAAACATAAAAAAACCCTAATCTAGGTGAAATCATTTTCGGGATCCCAAATGCGCATGTTGACTCCACCTGAAATTCACAACTGCTTACACCAATACGGTAAACAAAATAGAAAGTACTATACGGATTAGCAAAATATGCTAAGTACATATAAGTGCAAGATGATTAAATCCACTTTTATTTAATAAAACATTCTTTTGATGACTCAAGTCATTAAATTCATGACAATAACAATTTCTTTAAAATAAAGCCTTCAAATAAGTCTTTTTAAATAATCTCAATTCAATGCTCAATATTCCAATAACTCAAATACTCAAAATTCCAATAACTCAAATAAATATTTCGAAGTATTGAAAACCTATTTATTCCGATTTCCTCTCTAAGTGTGCACATCCCCAAGTTAGTATCTTTATGTGGAATGGCTATCGTTGAGGAAAGACTAGGTCATACAAAATTCATAGTCTTATCAACTAAATCCGCATAGTGACGAACAGGGAAGAAAAGAGAGGAAAAGGAACGTGGGAGGAGAAAATTAAAAGAAATGGGGATTTTTTTTTTTTTTTAACATTATTTATAGTTTTGCCATTAATGAAACATGTTATTAGAACGAGAAAATACAAGTTAATCATCTTATCATGGTGGAAAATTTGTAAATAAATAACAAATAAAAAAACACTATTCAAGGAATAACCGCTAATAGTGTTAGCGATTTTACCATGAACAATGTTTTTTTTTTTTTTTTTGCACTATTCATGGTAAAATCGCTAACACCATTAGAGGTTCTACACTGAACAGTGCAAAAAAAAAATCACTATTTGTTTAGGGGATTTTTCCCCGCCACGTGGACCAATCAGCACCTATCACGTGTCAACCACGTGGACCAATCAGCAACTATCACGTGTCAACCACGTGGACCAATCAGGGGCTGCCACGTGTCCTACTCCAGGAGGTTCAACATGGACCAACCAAGCCACGCCGCGTGGCACCTAGGTTGCCCACCTGGAAAACGGCCAACAAGGCCCGAATTCCGAGGCAAGTCCAATCAGTCCTAGGTTTACCATGTAACCTAGTATTGGGCACGTACTTCGAGGCTATATAAACAGATAATTAGCCTCCATTAAATAGTTTTAATGGAACTAATCCAGAGATTACCCCACGTGCATACCTATTGCTAGACCTTACTTAGCATTAATTGCACACCTTCTAAGGTTGCCCACTGCAACTAGCTTGATCACTCCTCTCCTAGGAGGAACCAGATTACCTTTACTATCCGCACCTTTTACTCCTAAACACGTTCTAACTTGATCGTCGGAGGCGGAGCTCCCACCAACCGGAGTTTCCGTTGTTTTGCATGTACAGGCGCACGGATCCAGTCCCGGAATTATAACTCTCCCGCAGGACATAAAAAAACCCGAAACACTATTCATGGTAGAATCACTAATGGTGTTAGCGGTTTTACCATGAACAATGTTTTTTTTCCATTTATTTACAAATTTTCCATTTGATAAACAACTCATGTTTATCAAGGTGATACAACGGGCAAGCCTCTTATTAGAACCATATTTCATTAATGGCAAAACTGTAAATAATGTAAAAAAACTTCAAAATTTTATTGGTTTAGCAGTTAATGTGATTTTTTATTTATTTATTTATTGTGTTTTTATTTTTAAAAGGTTATTATTATTATTATTATTACTATTATTATTATTATTATATTTATTTATTTATTTTAAAAAACCCATTCCCCACCCAACCCAGCCACCGCTGGTCCACTACCACCCTCTGGCGCCGGCCACGCCCAGATCTAACCTCCACCAATGCCAGCGTCGATCCTTCTCCCCTTGTCGCGCATCTCCCTATTTCCCTCTTCCCCCTAAACTTCAACCCATCCTGAAACCACCATTCCATCGCCCACAAAACCCCCTAAAACTTATCTCCCACCTTTGAAAACCCTAATCTAAACCCTAGAGATGGTGGTGGAGGTTCAGTTAGGGTTTTTCGGTGGTAGGGGATAGTTTTAGGGGGTTTCGCGGGGAAAAGAGGAAGATTTCGGGGTGAGGGGTTGTTGGTTCAGGAGAAGTGGGAAATGGGAAGGCATAACTCAGGGTAGGGAGTTGCTACCAAGGCGTCGGTCGGGGAAGAAGAAGTTGGCAGCAACGACTAGTGATGAAGAGGGATTTCGGGAGGAGGGGGTTCGGTGATGGTGGTTTGGGGGAGGAAAAGGCCACTAACTGGGCGGTGCTACTGGGCTGGCACCGCTGGGGGTGGAAGTGGTGGAAGTAGGGCTGCTGGGCTGGCGTTGGTGGTGGGGAGAAGGAATAAGTGGTGGCCGGAGAGGATGAATGGCTGGTGGTGGGGAGGAATTTTTTTTTTTCACAATTATTAATTATAGTTTAAATGTTAATTACTTGTTAATTATGTGTTAATTAAATTGTTAGATTAATTTATAAAAAGAAAAAAAAAAGTTTACCGGTCATTTAGGTTGTAGGTAAAATGTCTCGTTTAAAGCAAATTCCCCCTAAACTTTGTATTATTTAGAAATAATCAAAAGTTTGACTTGTTTTTGGCGGACCGTTTAAAGTTTGTATTATTTTTAACAATTTTTCCTTCTTTTTTTGTTCGATTTTTTGGTCGAATTTTGTGGGTTGAATTTTTGGTCGATTTATTTGTTCGAAGTTTTGTTCATTTCGGGTTTTGTGCTATTTCGTTAATTATCAGTTTGATTTTTTTAAATTTTAGATTTGATTTTTGTTTTGAATTTGGATTTGATTTTTGGTAATTTTTTTTATTTTGTGTGTTTGATTTTGTGGTTTGTTTTTGGTTTAATTTTGTAACACCCTAGAAATTCCTTACCTTTAAAATATCTATTTTACCCTTTTTTAAAATACGTAATAGGAAAATCTAAGACATTATTGCCACCGTGAAAACGGCTAAGACAAATATCAAAGACACACAACGGAAGACTTTCTTTAAAACCATTCATAACAAGTCAACTTAAAAGTCAGCCAAACGAAAGTAAAGTCAAACAAGGTCAACCTACAACTCAAAACCATTGTAGGCCCTTAAAACCAAATAATGCTGAAAACCTTTACGTTAGTACGTTAGTCTCGTGAGCCTAATAAAATAAATAATATTCAAATCAAATAAAACACATCATATTCCTATGGAAACTAAGATGATTCTCTCTTCACTCTTTCCCATCATGAAAATGCTTCATCACCTGAAAAACTTTTCTCTACTTGTCTCCACTACTTGCCATTAAAAATGGGTCGTTGTAAGGCAAGGTAAAGATAAGGCTAAACAAACATACAACACACAATCATCAATGCTGAGTACATAAGCGTAACTAAAACACACTAACATGCTTTCATCCTATCATCACACAACTTACCTTGTTGCACCCGTGTACAAGCATACAACGTACAACACAACCACACAACAAATAACTAGTTTAATTATTTAGCTTGATTATGCATCGAACGGGTTTCCCCCTAACCTGCCCCAATAAAGGGGTACTAACACGAAAGCTAATCGTGCCAGTATAAAAGAACCACTTGTAAGTGGTGGAATTCCTGCGCATAATAAAAAGGAATATACAGCGTCCTGTACTCCTAGTAGAAGTTATGGTCAAATATAAAGTCGCATAATTCCCCCCATATGTTCATACTCGAGGTATATACGTTCCAAGAGTTTTGGTGCATAATCTCTTTCACTTTACGTTGTTTACATATTTTTAGACTTGGTGATGACTCTCAAACCATAATACAATTGATAATTATAATTCATTCAAGCAATCAAGCATACCAATTTAGTTCTTAAATAATTAGTGACCCCATAAATTAAATCTTGAATCCTTTTTAAACTACCTTGGTGTTAAATAATACCTTAAACGCATAAAGTACCACAAATCCTATCCCTCGGTGTTTAGAACACCTTAAGTGCACTTAGGCACCCAAAATATAAATTAATCCTCGTGTACATAGACACTTAAATAGCTCCTTCCTCATGCTTATAGCATCAATAAAAATTATATGAACTATAATAAAATTCCTTTTAATATTCCAAACTCAATTAAACATTTAGTTTAATTAAACATGCTCTCTATCATGCCAATAATAAAAGTGTGGTTTATAATCAACATGCCAACATAATTAATTCAAATCACCAATTCATCATAAATAATTCATACATCACAAATCATTCACCAACATAAATCATACATCAAATTCCAACCAACACCTATCATGATACTACTTGGAATTAATTAAACAAAAACTAGCATGCTTCTACATATTCAAATAATTACCAAGTACGTGAACGTACCTTAAATATGATCTCAAAGTCGCCACGACTAAATAAAATCACTCACTTGGAAACCTCCTACAAACCAAAATTACAAAGAGGCATTAATATCTATTCCACACAAATTTCGAGCAATATATACACTCCATAAATCACTCATAAACCCTCTAAAACAAGATAAAATTTAATTAAAAACCCTTAATTTTATTCCCAATTAATGGGTAATTAAAAATTCTTTCAAGAAACATAATTATAGCTTATATATAAATTCCAGCTTTATTAAATCATCTAAAATTGC